GTGTGTGTGGATCATTCATGACTCAGCAATAAGAGGTGTGTGTGTGTGGATCATTCCTGACTCAGCAATGAGCTTAGGACATGTCCAAATATTATGTCATCATTGACAATTTCAACAAGCTGTGAAAGTTCATTGCTCGTGGGAGAACATATCATGCACATACTTGACCGGATTTAAAATTTAGATTTTAATTTAAGTTAAATTCAACAATTAATTTTAACCATATATTTTATGGAACTCACAACTTTTTAACCACACATTTAATCAAGTTTTGATCAAAATTTTCTGAAATTTTGATTTTAATCTCCACTAAATGGGGATTATGTTATGTTTTATGTAGTGGTGGCAAATCAGTAGAGTGGATTGTCGGTTTGGCCGCTTGACTCGTGAAAAGTTAGCTCGTAGACGGTTTGGGCTCGTCGTTCCGAGCTCGACTCGTGGGCTCGTCTTGGTAAAGGGTTAATTTTTTTATTTTTTATTTTTAAATGTTTATCTTAAAAAAAAAAAATTGACGAGCTTGTGTGCATACGGGCCGAGTCGAGCTCTAGTTTTATGTAGAGTGCATAAAGATAAGAAGATTATTATTATTTTTTTTTCAAGAAGAAAGATAGAAAATCAACAGGGGAAAGTGATTTGAGAGGGAACCCAAATGTAGAATATAGCTTTGAAGGAATGTCAAAGTTTTGAATGGCATATTACTTTTTGTTTAAGGTTTTGTCAAACATCCATCTTTTGATTTCAATATACTTTTCAAAATTGAAATCAATTTCAAATTCAATCGTCTGTGTGTATAATTATTGAATTACACTAATTTAATACCAAATTTAAAGCATGTCTGCTAGTTTTTTTATAATATTTGTGAGTTTCACCAAACATGTCTGCTAGGGCTTTGTAATTTAAGGACTCCGAAATATCTTATCAAGACTTATTTTGCTGGAGGACCAATAAAAGTCTCAATATATCCTTGTTGTATGTAGACTCCTTAAAGTCTCATTCGATTTTGTTGTTTTTCCACTTCGAGGGCTAGTCTTTGTTACCTGAAATTCAAGTCTTTCTTACATATTTTGGTTATTTGTTATTCTTTCATGTTTTTATTTGTTTTTGTTTTACTTGGTGGGGGTGAAAATGCCCTTTTAACAAATTTTTGGCTTATTAATGAAAGGCAATGATAACATTCTCCAGTTTGTGACTAACGTTGTACCAAAATGAAAGTTTGGAGAAGTCATTGCTACTTTTTGAAAAGGTTGAGGTTCTAAGTACAACACATAACAAAGGTTTGGGACCTTCATTGCAATTTGCCTTTAGTGAAGATAGAACTGTTTAGAGAAAAAAATTAGGTCTGTTTGATTTTAAGAATGAAATTTGGGTGGAAATAAAATGAATTTTAGGGAATTGAATTGCCTAAAACTTATTTTACTGGAATGGTCAATTAATTATGTTTGATTAGTATAATTTTTCACCTGCAAAATATTGAAATTTTGGATCTTTTGGTATTCGTTTGACTTTATTTTCCATAACAATTATTCATTAAATGGATATAATTTGTTACAAAAAAAAATTACCTAAAAAACCAAAAACCACCAAACCCATGGAAAAACCAATTCAAGGAAAATGTGGAAAATTGGTTCACGTGAGGTATAAGTTAGAAAACCTGCCTAGAAAATTTTTCCTATCAAACAGCCTAAAAGATAGAAAATGAAAAATAATTTCCAATTTTCATAAAAAATTCTTCGTATCAAACAGTGCCTTAGTACTTCGAAATATAAAATCAGTATTCTTCAATAAAATCGT